CAACAATTACCTTATATACTTTTTGAATGATGGCAGCAGCTTCCTCAGGTTTACGCTCTAATAGAAAACCCTAAAGGTACACAAAAATAAGATCAAGCCTGCATAATTAAGTAATACACAATGCCCAGTCTAGATTAGCTGGAGCCAGCCATCGTAATCAAAACAATCTTACAACTCGAAACGTAAAACCAGCTCAAAATCAGGGTTAGTCTTCATCGACTGGTTTGATGAAAATTAGTATTACAAGATCATGTAAGTAACAAAAGCCCAAGATCTTGCAATCCCAATAAGGTAGTGTCGCAATAAAATAATGAAGGCCCAAAAGAAATAATAAAGAAATGAAAATTTTGTTCGTCGAGCATCAAAATTTACCACCCAGAGCTGGCTATTTTAGCCAAATTGTCAGACAAAAAAATGATAGACGACTGCAATCATTGATTCGCATTACATTCGAGCAACAGTAGTGGCAAGCTGGTGATAGTAAATTTGGTTGGCTAAACACGATAGTTTTCCACCAAGTAGTTGGAGTTTTGGAAACCTATGGTTTCTTTAAGGCATTGGAAAACTAAAACCACATGATTTGCATTAATTTTGCAATGGAATGTAACAAATTCACAGATGCTATGAGTTTCATTACCTTAGCACATGAAATTGCACTTCCAAGAGTATGTTGATTTGTTGTTTCCAATCTCATCCTATCAAATTTCCATAGACAATCAACGTCTCCTATGCATAGGAAGTTTTGGAGCTCAATAAGCAACTATTCAGTACAGTGAGAAAGAGTGTCCTAAGTACTAGGAAAAGTTAGTCAGAATATTATGAAAATATATGGGCAGGGGAAGAAGGAATGATGAATCCATATACAATTTAAATTGTAAACCCATGCAAGGCACCTTATTTGATACAATAATAATAAAGGATGCACAGATGCAACACTGTTCCTCATTTTCCTCGGTGGATATTGAATATATAAATGAACCTTGAGAAGAAAAAAAACAGGTGGTACACCTTACTACTCATTCAGAAACAATCATCTCTGAAATAGATTAGAGGTAAAAGGGTTACGATTGATCTTTCACTGGGGGAATTTAGCTAGAAATAAATGACACAATCTTCAACAGGCAGCTCAAATCCTATTAGAGTTTTTTCGACAACTTTCTTTTTAATAGTGTCTCTGGGTGAAAATGTTATACTCCTATCAACGCTAATATTTTATTTTGTCTTTGTGCCAATTTGAACACCTTTTTATAACTTCCATGGCTTGGATTTCTGGATTTCTTTCCACCTTTTGTAATTCCATCCATTCAATAAAATGGTTGTTTCTGATATAAAAAAGAAAAAAATAATTACAATTGAAACAAATTTTCACCACAGCTAAGTAAAGAAAGCCTCTGTTGGCAACTTTATTAGATGGTAAATATTTCCTGCCTCTAAACAGACTAAAGACTAAAAGTACACTATAGCAAAGCGGCATACGAAGGAAATATCAGACAGTTCATCTTCAACAAATAGCTAAAAATCAAAATAATTTTAATAATACCAATGTTTAAAAGTATGCAGTCAACCAAAAACAATGAATAAGATTGATTCATTCATTAAGAAACAAAAAATAAAGTAGCTACCTATTTTAGAAGCAAATCTCATCAATGTGTCAAAAGATGTTCGACGAAATTTTACTCCAGCTTTGGAAAATTTTTTGAAGTACTTGGAAAGCAACGTCCAATCATTCACATTATAACATATCCTGCAAAGGATCAATTCAATCAAGGACTTCCAACCATATAATGAGCAATGTAGGACAGACAGAATTCAAAGCTTCAGATTACAGAAAAGAAAAATATGTAACCCCATTGCCCCTTTCTATTGAAAGAGATGCAATACCCACAAGGTAAGTATATCAATAACAGATTATTTTTGTAAGACAATTTATAGGTAACCCAGCTCAGTCGAATCTGGTTGTAAATGTCATGGGAAGAACAAATTAGGATTACATACCTGAAGACGATATCTGCAGTTCCAGGTTGTAGTGGCAATTCATTCCTTCTTATAAGTGTCACAATTTCAGCCATAAGTTTAACATCGTTGTGATCTTCAGCATATGTCTGAATTGGAAACAAAACAAGTACTTCAGTAAATTTTTAAGGCACTGCAATAAATCTAAGAGCATTAGGTATATTATTAAGACCAGTAAATGGTGGGCAGATGCAACACTAGGCGTCAATCCGTACACATTATGGATCCACAAGGTCTTCTTTCCTACACATGTATATTAAGACTCGGGCTCAGCATGAATATAATGGTAACCGCAGAAGGCAAAAAAGAGCAAAGTGTGTACCGATCATCAGCACTATGAAATAGATTCACGCAACCAAGCATATGAAGGATATTTATGGCATACCAAATAGAAGGGCTCCTGCACGAACGCACGCTTTGGTGACCTCTTGGCAAAGGTGAGAATTATAATTATTATGAATCTGAAGATTTGATAGCCTCTGCAACCAAAACCAAATAGACAAACTAAAAATGTGACCTCAAAAGGAAACATAATAGCAAGAGTACAAGCTAAGAAACTAACAAATATCCGCAGCCTTTTCAGAAGGTCAAATAGAAGCTTAATGTCATCGTAATTTCTACAATTTTCAATCAATGACCACATCCAAGCATTGGGGGGCATGCTTCTTTTAACATCTACAGATTCAAGCATCTTATCATACATCTCCTTGGCAATCTCTGCACAAAGCAAAATCAAAGAATGTCCGGGAATAAATATCAAAACAAAACAAAAAAAAAATACAAACCCAATAGAGTCGAGGATAGCAAAACAACAACCTGTTGCAGTAGTGGCATCCTCAGCAGCAATCGCCACAGATGAAAAAGACGCCCTGGCGATCGAGGAACACGCAGGAACCGAATAATCCATTGGTGAACAAATCCCTGTTCATTCCATTCCATTAGAAATTAAAATCTCAGTTTCAGCATTGCAAACACTACAAACTCCCGCCCCTCTCATTCCCTAACCAAACAGCTCAAAACAACAAGAAAACCTAGAATTGAGATTTAAGAACGGAGCGACACAAGTAAGACGAGACGTTGAAGAGTAGAAAAAGGAGAGGAAGTACCAGAGAGAGGGCGCCATTGATGAGAAGAAGCGCGAGGAGGGTGATTCGGTTGAAAATCGGGAACAAGAAATGGATCGAAATGGAGAAAAATGGGAGGAGATTTAAGAAGATTGGAGAGCCTGCGAGCGGTGGAGAGGAGTTGCATTTCGGCGGTTCTCAGAATGGGAAATGGAATTCGCCTGCCGACGAAAGCCCACTGTACTCAAACCCAGAAAGAGAGAGAGAATCGATTTGATCGGTTTCAGGGTTTTGTAGGAATTACTTGTGTACAAACCACCCCATGCTTGTACCATGCGACCTCATCACAATTTTGCCCTCTTTTTCTTTTTTAATATTTGGTTTTTGTTAGAAGATACCAACGCTGGATTGGTATACAATTTAGAATTCTTTTTTTACAGCTAAAGACCTTAAATAATTTTAAAAAATAAGAATCAATTTTTAAATCTGCTAAACACATGTCCGAAACAATACTTATGTTTTTCATTAAATCCCTTGTTTTTAGATTCTCAACCAAGCGCCCTCTAAATTTTTGTTGACATATCAATATTTTTATAAGTTGATGGGTTCAACAATTACATTAAGAGTGCATCAACATTTTTATAGTATCACTCGACAAAAATATATATATATACATATACATACATACATATATATGTATATGTATCACCAATATAGACATGATAGTAATAATTGTAATTTTTAATTTATTTAAAAGTGTTGAAATGCTTGTTTGTCGATTTAAATATAATTTGTGAATTTTTTTATTTTTATGATTTTCATAATTATCCATTGACATTAATATTTTATCAATTTTGTTATAGAAACATTTTCTTCGATATTTAAAATCTAGGTGTTTAATAGTTTTTTTTTTTTTCGAGAAATAGGTTTTTAATAGTATTTTGACACCTCTCTACATGTAATCTGACATATAGCTAAATGATAATTGACATATACCTCCAACCAGATTGTGAATTTGAATCTCCTCCCCAACATGTTGTACTCAAAAAAGAAAAAAACGTATTTAAAATACATTGTCTGACGTCTCAAAAGTTAATTTGAATTTATGTTGTAATAAAAATATTCATTTCGTTTATACACTCTTAGACGTGTTACATTTTTGTCTCGTTCATAAACTCTTAGGCGTGTTACATTGTTGTCGTTGAACTTTCAATATGTCTATATTTACCCTCGAACTATGAAAAAATATTTATTATAGTCCTTATTTTTATTTTAACAAATTATTAACATAACTTTGAAAATGTATCCAACAACATAAACATATATTCAAACTACATACATTCAAATTTCGGGTGGCCAAATAATATAATCAATATCAAAATGATTAATTTTCATATGTTTTAGAGACTAAAATAAATGTGGCAAAAGTTAGAGACCAAAATGACTATTCTTGAAAACACATTTTAGATCAAAATTCAACAAACCAAAATAAAAAAATCCAAAATAGGATTTTAAAATAAAATAAAAAAAGTTCGAAGTATCTCACTAAAAAAATTTAGTTTATTTCGACAATTTATTGATAGAATAATTTTAAGAAATTCATTAGTAAGAAATAAGAATGGTAGTCAATGACTAGATTGAATATTTAATTAAAAAAAATTAAAATGTTATATAACTTTGTTTAATTTAAAATTTAGAGGATGAGAAACAAACATGTTGCCATAAAAAAAAAACAAGAAAGAAACAAAAAATAGTTACCAAAGATAATTCTACTTCCTTTTCTTCTTTTCTTTTCTTGATATCATCGAGTGTCTTAGACCAATTTACGTGTACTCCTACTAATCGCACGAAACACCCGTCCGATCCTACTACATTTAGTTGCTAAGAAAACTCGTAGAATGTCAAATTTAAGGAGACGACCACCATGGTTTGAATTTATTCTCTCTAAATGCAATTCTATTAAAAACTAAGAAACAAGAATCGAAAAAAAGAACATACCAAACGAGCCAGATACAATCAGTGCCACCTCTGAAAGTAAGCAAAAATCAGAAGAACAAACAGAGAGAGAAGGAACCAACTGTGTCTGAATTTCAATATATCTCTATAACCAGGAAGAATAAATAAAGGTATTCACTTTAAGTTGGTGTAATTTTATATGTAAAATATATGCATACAAATTCACTCACCCATGCATTTTTTCTTACCTGGGTCTTCTTTAAGACTCCACCAATTGAGGAAGAATAACCTGAAGTAACAGTTTCCCCAAAGATTCCACAGCTGAATTCCCATCTACCTCTGGAATCCACATATTAATGAAATGAAGATCATATAACTAATACACAAGCCCAACCAAACCCCCCATAGCACATCTCCTCTGAGATCCTGCCTCTTTTCGAGACGTGTGATCCACGATCACTGTGGGAGAACCGGTGGAGCAATGGCGCGGGTGTTGTATGATTGGCAGTGACAGCATTTCTGCCCGATTATGTGGAAGTACACTTCGGTCGTGTCGTTGCAATCATTACACAAAATCCATACCTGCAAAACATGACCATAAGTTTCCTCTTCTATCTTGATGGAAATTTTACGCTGTAGAAGTTCTGAGTACAAGGGAATGTGTATGGTAGCAGAGCGAAAGCAGAGGGATGTTCAAGAATTTTCCGGTGCACGGTATTTCAATAGAAAAAAATTAAGTGTTCGAAACAAACAGGCATTAGGAGTAAGTGAGAGATTGGATCAAGAAACATCGAATTGAGTCAGACGAATCTGTTCACTATCAAGGTCTCGAATGCTTTCCCTGAAACTAGCTTCATGTAATTAAAGCAATGCAGAATAGGAAAAATGGATAAAGATTGTAAACTATGGCAGAGACCTTTTTGTTACGATATTCCTCCGGCATGACTGTTGCTTCAATCTGAACAACAAAAGCAGAGAGAGTACTATAAGTAAAAATATGTTTAACAAAGGATAGTCTACGCATCAGTATACTCATATAACATGCTTGATTTCTCTTGATTGGTTGGAATTTTCTTTTGTTACCTCCTCGTCTAATCGTTTCCACGTTTTTGACATGTCGACAACCGACTTGGAGCATATCGGACAACAATATCTGGGTTAGGATGCAAATTCTCATTAGATATCCATGCATATATCATGTACCCTTACGGCTTTCAAACTAAAGAAACGAAGATGGGCGTTCCGACTTACTTATCGCGCTTTATCATCTCAAAGTAACATTCCCGATGCATTGTGTGTCCACATTTCATAACAGCAACATCTTTCAGCGAGTCGAAGAGGTACTGTTAAACACAGCATGGAGGTATGAGGATCTATAGAGAGCAATTCAGTTTTGAACTTTTGACAAAACGAGAGAAGGCTGGAAAAATACCTCATAGCATATTGGACAGTGGTGCTGCATAGAGTTCTCGATACATGAATGATTGTCACGCAAACCAACCGAGTAACACGACCCTTTAAAAAGGATAGAAGAAACATGATTAGCACAAATGATGAGAATCATTTCATTTTATGACCTCTTATACTTGGGAAACAGAAGAAAAAAAAGAGTTAATAGATGGTTTACTGAATTAGCGAAACCACCCTGTCCAAGTAGAAGGAAAAATTAAAGAGATTAAGGTCAAAGTAGAATCCCTAACCCGTATAGTATACCCCAATAATCAAAGACGGAAATAAAATTCGACACTTATTTTCAGGTAGAAGTATGTAAATCTGAGAATTAAACAGAATGAAGTTCATCCATAACCAGGAGAACAGCCTATTCATCCCATACAGCCATATTATCACTAATTATATTTGTCTAACCAGTAGAACTAACACGATCCACCCAAAAACACATACTAATCCTAGAAGGAGCCATGCCGACCACAGAACCCAACTCGCTACAGAGTCCACAGTCAAAATTTGTTGTGCGTATTGAGATTACTTTGCACCAGTAGACAAGAATATGGGCACAGGTTTGATGTCGAGCTTTTCTTAGCCTATTTTATGCTTGAAAGAAGATATTTTATATGTATTTAAAAAGTGTTTTCCTAATAATTCATATAGAGCTTGTTGGTCAAAGTTTTGAGAAGAAGTTTGACTATAAATTCCATAACTAGTCAGGGTCTGTAGTCGGCGCAGCTTGTTCTAGAACTAGTAGGTGTTTTGAGATAGGTCGTGTCACGAACAAATTAAGGTTCCTATGTCAGAAGCTCCACAAAGTCGACGTAAAAGAAAAATCAGGCAAACAAGTTCAAAGAAACGCTAAGATTATAAATACCCACTACTGGATCTAGCTCAAGTATTATTCTCAGAATATAGCTTTAAGCTTTCCGTGGAAAAAATGTAAGAATGATCAATGAAAAACTCATTCAAAAGAAGCCATTACCAACATATGATGTTCATACGTTAAAATATCAAGAAACATAATTTATACTACTAACTAGCAAAACAATAAACAATCTACATACAAGAAATTACATTTTATAAGAAAATCTACTGATATACTAAATAAAAAGCCATAACATAAGGTAAGAAGATTTACCACACTTCTTGCAATGAAAATAGTTCTCTCGTCCGCCAACCCTGTTTACACAAGATTGATCAACTTAAAAGCCTTGATTTGATAAACCCTTCAACTGATCAAAAAGGAGAAACTAGAAGATTTGACAAGATTTCCAAAATCCAAACTAACCTACAAATCCCGCAATCGTCACAATGGAACTGCCCCTTATCAATCTGCAGAGAAGAATGGAAATCATGAAGGAAAAGCAGGCTTTCAGACAATGAACAAACATAGAAGCACCAATTCTTACTTTGTTACTTCCAAGTAAACACATAGCTAATAAAAAAAAAGAAACAAAAATCATAATATTTACATCATCGTCGTAGAATTTGCATATTTCACAGAAGTACTCCCCCATATTGACACCACAATTCGTACAAACTCGAGCAACCTGCAAACAGTGGTAAATAGTAATAAAAAACCAAGAGTCGTAAAATATGAAAAAAAATAAAAATTTGGCCTCCGCACCCGTAAGCACTCTTACTGACATGGCTTATTCTTAGTGGATTAAAAAGATTATTAGAATCTACTTATTTCTTAAATCTAAAATAAGTAGACCACTGCAAATAAACCACATCATGTCCGTCCTACTTACGGGTATGGTGTGGAGGCAAGTAGTCTTAATTAATTATAGAAGATCAAAACTCAAAATGCTATGATATGACAGAAATAATATTTACATACTGGCTGCTCCGTGTCACAAACCGCACAGACGACCTGATTCAGGTTTGGGAAAAGATATCAAATCGACTGCAATTGAATACTTTTACATACAAGAGTAAAAACTCAGTGGAAGGAATGAGATGAAGATAGAAAATCATACTTGTTTAACGTCGAATCGATCTAGTTCATGACGTTCAAAGGGTCTCATCACACTCTAATGCATCAACAAAAGAGAATAGAATATATAAGTTTCCGATGTAACAGTAACTACGAGAAAGTCAAGGATATCAATCAACGGCAAGAACAGACCGTAGCTTCGTTATGACAATGGCGACAGGGGTAGATCTCGTTGCAGCAGGGGGCTCTAATCTTACATCTCCTGCGGTAATGCTTGCATCTAATAAAAACCCACAAATTAGAAACTGAACACCACATCGAAAAATCCAAGTTCAGAATCCTTCAAGTAGAGGGTCAAATGAAAGAAAAAGCAAAAGGGGCAATGAAAAAACTGGCTTTACCCATAGCCCATCTTCCCAAAATCAAGGCGATCATCAGCTGAGATTTCCATGAGCAAGCGGAAAGCTCAGGTGGAGAGGGAAGGCAGGCGACGGAAGAGCTTCTTAAAAGGGAAAGAAGAGTTGTTGGGTTGCTTTTGTTTTAATATCTCCCAAAGAGGAAACGTCAACAATGGAAACCCCAAATTTATATCCACCTTCTGCATCTCGATCTGCAAATTTTCCTGTATAAAATATTAACAAGATAAAGTGATGCAATAAATTATATTATATCTTAAGACAGGCCCACTTGAAGAGAGAGAGAGAGAGAGAGAGAATCCAGTAAAGGATAAGGTGGGACGAAAGCTGACATGGGAAGGCGGAAAGGGCAGGCGCCGACATTTTAGCGAATGGGAAATTCAATAGAGGAATTGAAGAACTGGGAAGCCAGGAAACTGATTGGGGCATTTTAACAAACACTTTGAAGGCAGCGAGGATTCCAAAACTGATTGGGGCGTTTTAACAAACGCTTTGAAGGCAGCGAGGATTCCAAAACTGCTTCCATCACTTTTTTCTTTTTGTTTTTTGGAGAAAGAAATTTCTTCGTTCTTCCCTCGCTTGATGGAGAAGAGAAATGCAGTTGAATCCCAACGACATTCGTTTCAATAATTTTGTAAGCCATTTCCGTACGAAAATAATCTTCAATTCTATTTTTCCTCTCAGCCTCAAAACATTCGCTTCTCATTTCTAGATTCTAATGCGCTCCAAAAACAAATTTCTGTTTGTCGAAAAAAGAAAAAAAAAAAAGAACAAAAAATTTTGGTTTCTTTTGATCACTTCAAAATATATATCATCAATATTAAAGATTCAGAATCTTTTCCCCTACATCGATCGAACTAAAAAAAATCATATTTTAATTCCTCACACTTTTTCTTTTTATTCTTTTTTCTTTATATTTTTAAATGTTGTGCTTTATTCAAATAATTTTATACATTGTATAAACTATATTTTTTTGGATGAAATCTAATCATTGAAAAAATAAAGGAAATATTGGGTTTTCGAAGTGCAAATGACACCGGCCTAGAGTAATAAAAGAGCTCATATACTCGATTAACAGAAATCGATGGATGAACGATCCATAATTACTAATAGAGTTTATCTCTGTATTTAATTATAAGCGTTAACGTGTGGAACTCGTTCAACAGTCATTAAATACAACCACGAAGTTCTAAGCTTGAGATCAGTGGTTGTGGGTGAGAATTTAAGAGCGACTCTAATCGATACCTCAACTCAACTATTACTGAAGCTAGAGTCCGAGTCAGGTTCCAAAGTATGATTCATCGACCTTGAGACATAAAATATTATACTTAGGATCTTAATAATCTCTTTTCCTACGACATGTAAAGTTACTCGATGCGTTTAATAAATTCAACTGGTCTAATTTTTTCCAAATTATTTCGTTTGAGATTAAATAATAGTTCACTCGAACCAATATTTCGTTGAACTGATAAAGTCAAAACATAAACAAGCTTAATGGATATTTATTTGTTGGGTTGAATTGAAGGATCCAAATCAAGAGATTAATGGAGAACAAGTTTAAATTTTATCTTCATTTCTAATTCATTTAATATAATGAAATATCATTTTCATTATCCTAATCTGATATGAAAAGCAAAAGAAAATGGGTTGGAATGGAAGGGGCCCACATAGCAACATTATTGCCAACATTGTGACAAATTATAAAATTCGATTGTTTTCTTCCTTTTTCTATTTCTTCTTTTTTATAGATATTTATTATAGACATTCTGACATGTTTTTGACATAGATATCTTAAATAGTTGAGACAGACTCATGTTCACGCCTATTTGAATTAGTTATTTAAAAGTATAATTTCTTTTATATCAAATATGTATCGTTATTTATTTTTCAATTTTTTTAGAATATGGCAAATTTTCACTCTTTCAAAACTTTACTTGATAATCTCATAAATGATTTGAAATTTATTAAACAAGAAATATGAATTAAAAAAATTTAAAAACCATCAACTTCAACATAGTTTACTTAAAAGACATACATTTAGTCTAGTGTTTAAATATTTACCTCACATGTTGAATTAAAAAAAAAAGATAAAACCCATTTTATTAGCAAAATTTTAAAAGCAATAGTTAAATTAAAAAAAATCCCGCATAAAATGTGGAAATTGATATTATGATCAAATAATTTTTTATCCGAAGGAAAAAAAAATGTCGTGGTATATACATGAATGAAACATACGTATTTTTCAATTTGGTTCCTAATATTTTCAACGTGTACGTTGCCAAAATTTTGAATCAAATCTTCATTCAACGATATCATTGAAATTGATAACCATAATAGCTAAGATTTAAAAGTACCCTAAAACAATACTTTACCCGGTGGGGTTTTTAGTTTGAAACTTTGGATATGTATAGTCAACTTGTAAATCTAAATAGAATTAAGATTATAATTAAGATAAAAAAAATATTAGTTAATTTATAACGAAAAGAGATTCAAACCTACCACTTTTAAATAAATCGATATTATCCCACCACTGGAGCTTTGTTAGTGTAACGTCAAATTACTGTTATTCAATTCCAATTATAAATTCAATAAAATAAATTTTGAAACATAGGGAATATCGAAAACGAAAACTTCAAAAGTTTAGTCTCTAACTCTCATAGTTTTTGTTTATTTGGATAAAGATTCTAATAAATTCTTCAACTTCTAAAGTTGTATTTGTTTAGTTCCTTAAACTTTAAAAAGTTTATAAAGGTTTTAAACTTTTAGATTGGCATGCAGCTAACTTCGTCAATTTAAAGCTACATCACGACCTGTATTATTTAAAAATTATTGGACGAGTTGATTTTGGATAGGTCTAAGCATCATATCGCAAGCAGTAAATTGAACTAATAGCAAGAACTTGATTGACATAAAATTAAACTAAATAAACAAAATATTGCAAGTTAAAAAATCAATCAGAAATCTTTTTTTTTAATACTTGGAACTAATTCAACTAACTTAAAAAATAGAGATTAAACTTATAATATAACCCATTAAAAAAATGTAAATATTATTTTGGTCACTGTACTTTTAATTTTGGTTCATTTTCAACTTTGTTCCATAACACGTTCAAAATGTTTATTTTGGTTATATACTTCCAATTTTTGTTCATTTTAATCTTCGTGCTTTCAAAACGTTCGCTTTAGTTATTGTACTTTTAAAAGTGACAATTTTAATCCTTATCTACAAAATTTTAATACAATAAAATTACTTAATATGAATTTATTAATACATTTCAAAAAATTTATGAAGTGAAGTGTTTTGAAATATAAATGAAATGAAAAAATAAACGAAGCGACGAAAATTGTCACTTTATCAAAAGTATAGTAACTCAAATAAATATTTCGAAAAAAGTAGAAGGACAAACATGTAAAAAAGTTAAAAGTAAAATTTTATAAATATAGAAACAAAAATGAACTCGAGGTAAACTTGACAGAAGAAAAAAAAAAGGTGTGAAAAGTGAAGTATTAGTCTGTGATATATTTAGATTTAAAGAAAATATTAGTTTAATTATTTTCTGGCTCATGAAATGTCTTTTCCAACTTGAAAGTAAGTTGTAACGAACGTTCCAACAGTTGGGGAGCTGCAAATCCTCCATTTTCGACCTTTAAACCAGCGACAAAGCCGGGCCGCTAATGGCCATGGGAACCTCTAATCCAGCCATAGAATTCATATTTCCAACGCAATATAACAACCGAAACAAACAAGAAATCAAGAAGAACAGAAACTAACCTTTCGGCTTCCTTCTTCGCTGTCGCATCTCGATCGATCTCTCCCTGCGGATTCATAAAGGGGGAGAGATCTGATTTCTCCTTCA